CTCTCTCTCTCTCTCTCTCTCTCTCTCTCTCTCTCTCTCTCTCTCTCTTTCTCTCTCTTTCTCTGTCTCTCTCTCTCTCTCGCTCTCTCTCTCTATCTCTCTTTCTCTCGCCATCTCCACCTACCTTAAAAGTCCTGCCATGCTGGGTTTGCGTAGACCGTCAGAATGCCCACACATGTGCGCGATGTGTAGTCGGGATTTGCGCGGTGGCTATTACATTGGGTTCAGTCGCCGCGAACGAGCAGTGTCGTGTGATCCAACAGGGATTCCTCTTCATGAGTCCGATGTGTGATAGGTGGTCTATGACATTCGGGGCCATTTCATCGTGACGTTTGATTGGGCCGTGTGAGGAAGGCGGAGATCGCCTCTCTGTCACGCTCTCTCTCTCTCGCTATCTCTTTATCTCTCTTTCTCTCTTTTATCTCGTTCGTTTCACTGCGCTTGTCTTTGTCGTTCGCACAAAGTTTGCGAACGTAACTGACAAGCGCAGACAAACGAACGAGACAGAACCAACAGCGTCGTGTTCCACCACCATCCTCGTCAGTTTTCTATCAGTGCCTCTATGTCGTTCGTCTTTTCCGTCGGCCTGCTTTCGCGAATCTAGTTCCATTGGGACCACTCGCCCCGATCAGATGGCACACTCACACGTCCACGTGGCAGGTCCTGAACAAGCGCGGGCTCGCTGATCGATGGGGGGCTCTATGCGGCAACAAAATGTTGTCGAATAGAGCCCCGCACCCATCAGCGTCGCCACGCATGCTCACAACTTGACACGTGGACGTGTGTGCCGTCGTGTTGAACTACCATCTTCACCCCCGTCGTTAGTTTGTCTTCAGCGCCTCTATTTCGTTCGTCTTATGCGTTAGCCTGTTTCTTTCGCGAACTTACCTCGGGGTGCGTTTGCGGATCTCGTTCCATTGGCGACCACTCGCCTTGATCAGATGGCACAGTCAAACATCCACGTGTCAGTTCCTGAACAAGCGTGTGCACGTTGATGGATGCGAGGCTCTTTGCGGCAGCAGAATGGATGCCACGCTCCAATATAGCCCCACACCCATCAGCGTGGCCACGCATGTTCAGGACATGACATGCGGACGTGTGAGTGTGCCATCTGATCGGGGCGAGATGAAGGAGTTTCCGGAGCAAGAATGCATGCGTATCATTGGCGATCACTCGCACCGATCAGATGGCACACTTAGACGTCCACGTGTCACGTCCTGAACAAGCGTGGCCACGCTGATGGATGTGGGGCTCTATGCGACAAAGGGGCTCTATGAGGCAGCAGAATGGATGCGAGGCTCCAATATAGCCCCGCGTCCATTAGCGTGGCCACGCATGTTCAGGACATGACATGCGGACGTGTGAGTGTGCCATCTGATCGGGGAGAGATGAAGGAGTTTCGGGCAAGATGAGTGTCCTCCACATTTTTTCAAAATTTTCGCCAATCTTCCTCTCGCCGACACAAACAATTTTTTCTTAAATTTCTTTCGTGCCGTTTTATTAACGGGTCACATTGCGAATTCCGAAATGGACAACACCATCCGCAGGATCTGCACATGGAGAGATAGAGAGCTAAAGACAGGCTTTCTCGCTGCGCATCCTCTCCTTGTCAACGTCTCTATCGATCTTAGTCTCCCTTCCGTGTCTATGCGGGTTTTCTGCCTTTCTCCAATCCTTGTGTATCGCAGACAGTCGCTCAACCAATCTCAGGTTGGTCCCCCCCTGAGGGCAATCACAGATCAGTAATTCGAAGACGGCTACGACAGATTCGAAGACACAGGAGGCGAACGTGAATTCAAATCTTTAAACCCTATCAAACCTCGCGTCAGCCGAACGCCGCAAGGAACCCTTCCGCTGACTTGGACACAGGACAGGACACGGAGTGATCAGATGCTCATAGGGTATTGTCGACGGCAACATGTTTGACCAACCAGGAGGACGACAGCCCACCCTGTCCATACCATCTTGTGGTGGCGCAACAACTGGGCCACTCTTGTTAATTTCAGGTGCATCCAAGTCACAACCCACTAAAACTCACGGGGCGACCACTAACCGAGGCAACCCGGCAAAGTTCGGATTAATCCGAACTACAATGATGGCATATTCGGATTTGTCACATGCACAGACGGTATTTACGACGCCGAACGTTTCGATAAACGTGAACGACGAAGTCACACGCTGTCAAAAGACCGTTCCGTCTCCGATAAATCCGAACCACACCTCCGACAGGATAGGGTCCACTCTCTGCTCACAGGTCATTGAGGAAAACACACCGTGCTGATGTCCTCCTCTAGTGGTCGGCCTAATTCGGATGCATCCGAGTCACAATGCCGGTCTTTCGACTCTGCCCAGTTCGGATGTGTCCGAACTACCACGCTGTCTTCGTCTTCGACCATTCGCTCTAAGAAGGGCAGTCTGATGACGAGGGTCAACGATGCCTCGGATTCATGCAACTAAAACGAGTCGAGATGGTTACGCTTGGTGGAAGAAAGACGAGCTAGAAACTTGTGCTGCGACTACAGCAAACGTGTCTGTTGTTTGGATTGGGCGAGCAACAACCAACTAAAACTCACGACGACGACGATATCCCCCGTGATGACGCACAAATTATAATGACACACTACAACAATCGCGGGGAGGTCCGGTGTGTGGTGGGGCGACAACAAAGCGAAGCGCCTCGGCGAAGTCGGATTAATCCGAACCACATGCGCATAGGGTATTGACGACGTCGCATGGTCTGATAAACTTGTTCGTCGAAAGCACACGGTGTCGGTGCAGCCCGTCGTGGTCGCACGTATCGGGACAGCCTCTGTCGAAATCGGATGAATCCGAGCCACACCCGGCTTAAACACTCAAGGACGAAGACACACCGTGCGAAATTCGGTTGGACCCGATGACAGCTGGGGAATAACGGAAGCTTGGATGGCTGGATGGGCGTCAACAGACCGTGGGGTCCATCCGCCGGTCCCCGTCTCGGATTAATCCGAGCCACAATTGCATCCGAGTCACAACCGTTACCGACTCAGAAGGACAAGAAAACTCGAGTTCGGTTTCGTACGGGCCAACAGGGGGAGACCCACACCGCTTTGGAGCTCGGATTCATCCGAACTACAACGGCGGACTTTACAATCCACTTGTCGACTTCGGATGACAACGTATTCGTCTTCGTCTGCCGTATCAGCGTTCTAGGGCCTTCTTGCGAGGTGTTGCTTTTCCCGGTGCAGGTGCCTATGCGACATCGGTTTTTCGACTGCACCTGCTTCGGATGAATCCGATCTATCCCACGGTCTTCGTTTTTGACCATTCATTCTCTTAAGGGCAGTGTGACGAGGATGGCTCACGATGCCTCGGATTCATCCGAAACGTCCAGGCTTGTGGACCACTGTCGTCTAA